CTTTATCCAATAATATATGAGATATTTATAATTCAATAATAAAATATTATGACGAAAGGTCATTATACAACAATATTTTTATTAAATAGTTAGTAAATATATAATCTATGAATTATAATCTCTTTTAGTTTATACTATTTATTTTATATTTCATACTATTTATTCTTATTTTATTCTATTTAAATATATTTTATATTACTCAATTTATATTACATATTATCCTATTTTATTTCATATTACTCATTTTACTTTTAATATATTTCATATTATTTGTATTTAATTCATATTATTATTATTAATATAAAAAACACATGTTAATCAATCTTCAAAGACCAAATTAGCTTAATAGTAATTTATAATAATTAGTTACAATCAAATAAAAGATATGAAACATTAAGGCAAGCACTACAAGATAATTTATAAAATAAATTAAGTTTTATTCTAAATAGAATAGATTAATTCTAGATTGAAAAGATTAAGTAATGAATAATTATTATAAATATAGCATGTATTTTAGCTAGAAAAACAGACAGTCTTTGATTAACTTAGTCTTAATAAAGTTTCTTTGCTTTTATCCTTTAATAAAATATAATAATTGACTTACTGTGTGTTTGTCAGAAGAATTGATTACTTTGTGTTTTCTTTTCTTGAATAATAATAAAGATTCTTGGTGAATCTAAATTGCTTTTTGGTAAAATAATACTCATATATTAAAAAACTTTGTGTTCTATCTTTTATAATCCTTTCATAATTCTTTGAGTTCTTGGTGAATTCGCTTCTATTTTCATAAAATATATATTATTCTTAACGTTCTTAGTGAACTTATTCGATTCTTTGTAAATTTTAGCTAATATATAATAGTATTAAAAGATTATTTTATACTTTGCTCATTCTTTCACACTTTTTCACATGAACATAGTTACTGCCTACTGTATAGTAAAGATCTTTATCTATAAAGACTACTAACAATAACAATACTTTCTTAAAGTTCATGTTTCTTTCAATTTTTCTAGTGATTTATCATACATTCATGATACAAAACTAAAAATAATCTTGAGAAAGAAATCAAAATGCTTGCTAACTTTGAAGCACCCATTGCTTCGTGAATATTGCTTAAAGTGAGTTGCATGAACACCATTTTGTCTTTCATAACATGAAAAAAATATCTACTCAGAGTGGGAAAGTGTTTACATTAGAAAATTAAAGAGATACTTACAAAAATGGTTACAAAAATCTGCATCATTTTCGTGTGACATATCGGCTGACTGATATTTTAAAAAAGACAATGTGCATTTGGGAATAATCTGCAATTTTAATAATGGGATTTGCAGACGCGTTTGTTTCACAACGCGCGTTTGTGTATTGATGTGTTTTGCGACGCGTTTGTATATTGATATCTTTGGACGTGTTTCACGTTTGTATCGAATACAGTCAGCCAGTCACAACCACACTTTTTTGTGCTCTCGAGTGTGATTATATAAAAGACAAAAACCAGATTTTTTTAAAATTATTACCCGATAAAATGATTAATCTGAAAGTTGTGATGGATACAAACGAGCATATTGTAGTAATTGATTGTTTCTCAAAGCAAATAATGTGCAGTATAAAAATTCAATATTAACTTTCCTTTTGATTATTAGGATGACGATATATGCATTAAAGTTCCACATAGGAATAAAGCGAAAAATGCTTATTTTAATTCAAAGAAAAAGAAAAATATTTTTACTGAAAGTGATCATCTAGTTGGAACATGCACGCATCAAGACGATGACGATGAAGATGAAGATCAAGAATACGAAATAACGAATTTTTGCGTTTACGATGAAAATTTTGAGGTATTATTATTATACATGTATTTCATATGATTAATTTCAATCAATGAGACTTGATAAATGATAATATTGTTTTTAGTATGCACTTATATCTGATTTGCATGAGGTTCGGGGGGACATAACTTATTATTGGAATGCAACTGTGACTATTGAAGATGAGGAATTTGAATGGGAAGAGGTGTATATATATAACTTATCTATTAAATCTCTAGTATTGCGGATTTTTATAAAATATATATTTTTTATTAGGTGCCATTAAAAGAAATTTCTATCGGAGGTTATGGCATCGAAATGTCTGAAATTACGATATGGTTTAAATCTTTAAGAGATAAAAATCTTTGGTATCGACTTAAAAACCCACATCCCGAATATGAAAAAATATTTCAAGTCTTCTACTGGAAAGCCACGCTATCTAAATATTTTATCGATTACATTGATTTTCGCACATTTTCAAACGAAGAAGTCCGATTTTCGGATTTCAAATCAAATTTCTACATTTGGTTAAATGAAACCTGGACGGATGATGAAATTTATGAAAAATGGATTTCTTACGTGGGTACAAGAACCGACTTTCGGTCTGCAATAATAGAGTGTGCTCGATTTTTGTGGAATCAAGCTATTTTTCTTGATGAAAATACTTATAGAACACTCAAGATATTTCAAGGTACATTTGAGCTTTTTCTTTTGGTTTATTTATTTATTTTTACTTTTTATTTCATATTATTTTTCATTTTGGGTAGAGCTTGGACAGGTGACTTCTAAAGGTCCTGGGGTATATATGTATTCATATTCTTTATTTTCGTATAAATGATTCGATTTTTTATTTATAATTTCATCATTAATATAGGGTCACGAAGAGGAAACTGTCGTCACACCGACGGTCTATCGTTGGTTCAAAGACATATTCGGAGATAAATTAAAGATCGTTGGTGAGAGAAATAAAATCATTATATTGTTGAATTTTTTAAAGACTGATTTTTAACGTTTATTCAGAGAATGAAGACAATATAATTCGGGATGCTAATGAATCATCATTAAGCGATAAGATCCGCGTAAAAAATCGAGAATTTAAAACAATTAGCGACTCTAAACCGACTTTTTTCCCACAAAAAGACGGAATATATCATCAAGTTGAAATAGATTCAATGATTTTCTCTATTGGTGATGTCGTGGAATTACAAAACGATATAGGGTCTGAATGGACAGATGGCGATAAATGGTTATGGCAAGTACTTGATTGTTTTGTCTTTTATTCTCTTAGCTTGCTTGTATTAAAAGGTCGAATTTATTATTATAGTTTAATTACTGAATTCATAAAAAATCCAAATAATGATGCACAATTTCGTATGGTTTGGATGTACACGAGGTCGCAAACGGTCCTCTCAAACCTTGATGAAGATCATCATCGACAATCACGAAAAGAACTATTCTTTACCAAACATTGTGAATGCGATAAAGCTCAACTTCTGACTAGCATAAAACAAAAAGTTAGGGTGAACTTCTTTACAAACTCTTGTCCCAGTAAGTCGATTAATCTCTTATTTAAGATTCTGCTTAGTCTTTCTAAACAATAAAATAGAATTATATAAAGAAAAATCCCTTTTGTAGATGAAGAAAATTATTATTTTTGTCGATATTTCTATAAACATACTGAAGGGGATTTTCTAACCTTACCGAAAGAATTTTTGAAACCGAGTCAACTTCCACGTATTTGCGATTGCGCTGCTCCGAAGAATCTGTTCAAAAATTTTATAGAAAAATACGAAGTTGGGGATTGTATACTTGTATCTCCTCAAAATAAGGATACCGAAAACTTATTAACCGTCGCATGTATCGAAGAGATCGTTAAAAATCGACAAACTATAAAGTTACGGCGGTTTTACCGGTGGTCTGAGGTCGAATTATCGAACAAGAAATCAACTCATCATCCTATCAACGAATTATTATATTCAAAATATATTTTTGAATATAATAAATTCGATATAGACATTCGACTGTGCCATGTAGAATACCTAAAATTCGGAGATCCACAACCTGTAAATCTTCAGCATCGAGGATCGGCGAATCATGTATGCTTAATCCCATTCAGTTTTTTCTGCAATAATTTCACACTCATAAAAAGGTCAAAAACGAGTTCTTTTTAGTTTTTCTTTTCTAGACAATATAATTTTGAAACAAAAGAAATCAAGCCGCTCAAATCTTCAAAATTCGCTGACATATTCCCTGATTATTATTACAAAGTATCGGATGTGGAAAAATTGAGAGGCTTAGATCTATTTTGTGGTGGTGGTTCTTTAGGTCGTGGATTCGAGGATGCCGGATTCGTAGAATGTCGTTGGTAAATACATTTTCTTTTTGCATTTTTGAAAGTAAGACTCTTAATGCTAAACATCGATCCTTCTACTAGGGCTGTAGACAAATATGAGGCTGCTCTAAAGACTTATCGTGAAAATGCATCAGATGATGGTATTACTATTATTCACGAAAGTGTTAATAAAGTGTTGAATGATGCTATAACTCAACCAAGGCAAACCAAATTTCCAAAAAAAGTTAGTATTTTGAAATTAACAAATTTATGTCTTAATTATTCTAATTCTTATAAATTTCTTAATGCAGGGTGATGTCGATATTATCCTAGCAGGATCGCCGTGCCAAGGATTCTCGAGAATGAATTATCATAAGTATAATGATAAAACTCAACAGAATAATTCCTTGGTGACATCGGTGGCTTCATTCGTTGACTATTATCATCCAAGATACTTTCTTTTGGAAAACGTTGCGATTATGGCTAAATCTCTAAGTAAAATTTTTATATTTAAAATATTAAAATAACTTACACAACTTTTATCTTATTAATTCAAAAATGTGAATATTTTCAATCCAGTATTTATGCGGCTTGTTGCCTGCTTGCTTGAATTAGGGTACCAAATCAGATTTGGGCTAGTTTCTGCGGAAAGCATGGGTTGTGCTCAGTCTCGTTGCAGAGTATTCTTATGGGGTGCAGCAGAGAACGAAGTTCTTCCTGAAATGCCACCTATAACACACCAGCTCTCAAAATCCTATAGGGGGTACGCAACAACATTTAAACTCCCCAATAGATCAAAGTAAGATCATTGTTTCTTAACCTCTAGGGTTTATTTTTTGCATAATTCTCAACAGATAGTTTTTTATTGTATTACATAGGTTGGATGGCATAGCTGTAGAAGAAAACCCGATAACGAGTTTCCCATTAATCACCGTAAAAAAACTAATAGGAGATTTACCCGAGTTGGATACCGGCATTCTTTGGAATCCTCAATATCCTGACCATATTTCACACAGGATAAATTACTTATCAAAAGAGCTGCTAAGAAGAATACCTTCGATTGGAAACGCCGATTATTATTCGGCTCGGAAAATGGACCTTATCCCTGAAATTTTTCATCATCCTAGCTACGAAGCAAAAAAGAAAAAATACGCAGATAATTGGAAACAGCTTAACTACCGGTATTGTCAGCGTATAAACGGCGATGGCGTTTTTCCGACGATTGCTACATGCACGAGTTAGTATTTTCTTGACTTTTTCTATATTTTTTGACACATGCATCTATTAATAAATAATATTGTTTTTTATACTTATAGAGCCTAACGGAATCGTAAATATCAAGTTTTTCCAACATCATGCTTTTACACTTTTTTGCTAAATCAACCCTTTTTCTTTATAGCATCCTCAGGTTATTCATTATGAAGAACCTCGTACTTTGAGTGTGCGGGAAGCAGCGCGGGGTCAAGGTATATGTGAAAAAAGTTGCTATTTACTATTATATCAATTAACTCGATTCTTATGATTTTTAGGGTTCTTAGATTCAGATATAATCTGCGGATCAATAAATGATCAGTTCAAAATTATTGGTATTTATCATCGCATTCTTTGTCAAACAATTCATTTATACTTAATAAATTCGTTCACAGGAAACTCGGTTCCGCGAAATGTAGCATTCTCATTGGGTTCAGAACTAGGAAAAGCATTAACGGATCCGCATCATAAATCTTTATCGGTGAATTTGTTAAATAATTAATTTATTTAATTTACGCATTCTTGATTATTTCCTATTTGCATCTGAGATCATTTCTAGAATTTGTAATTAAAAATAAGTTTATAAAATTTTTAATTTCCTAATTAAGCTATCTTGAAAGTTCAAAATGAGTCATTGGACAACACGTCAATTCCCCTTCAATTTCCTTTCCAGCTCCAAAAATGCTCTCATCCCTTCATCGAATCCCGGACCCCTTGCACTTGTTGCATCATCAATTCCTTGTTGCTTTGATGATTGGTTCGTTGACGTTTCTTCATTTTGTTCTTGAGAAAGAATCAATGGTACAGGTTTCCTTTCTCGAAGCAATCGATCACGTATTCGTGCAGTGATTTCACGCCACTCGCGATATTCTTCCGCGTAGATATCTAGTACACTTTAGAGATTATAAAACAGGTTATTTACAAGCTTTATTAGACTAAACACGCGACTCAGAATCATTAATTTTAATACCAATGTGCACATCCACTTTAAATATGTCAAAGCCAGACAAGTAATTTTGAAATATGTTTGTTAATATAGTGATTATGAATTTTGGTGCGGTGCTTAAAGTCATCCCAAACCTCATACAACAATTATCGGGAAACATTGGTTTCTGCGGAATAATTTCACCATCAACAGTCAACATTGGTCGATTTTCAACTACTTGGTCATTCTTTAATGCAATCGAAGCAATAGGCTTGGATGCATAATTGCTACTATTAATATCTTCATTATCAAAAATTAGTTTGTTACTTTGATCAACATCTTGTTTTGCTCTTGATGGCTTCGGCAAATATTAGAAAAAATATGAGTTTAATTCCTTGACTTCAGGCATTCAATCATCACATGATTACCTGATTTAGAATTAATGTCCAATATCCTTTATAACGTTGCTCTTCGTTACCTTGATTGTCGATCTTAGCTCCTGATTTTTCGGTCTTTATATCACTAGTATAACTGTGCCATATTCTGGTATTTGCATTATATAGAGCTGCTGTTGATGCTGAATTTGGTACGAAATTCCATATCCGTTGAGATGGTAATAATTTTTTTATTAAATTGAAAGACATTTATTTATTGTCATTGCAAATCCTCATTAGAATATTAATTAATATAATATATGAAAAAATTATTATTAGAATTATTATTACGTATATTACTGTATAGAATACCCGGGGGGGGGGGGGTACATAAGATCCAAAATTTTGATTATTACACTAATTTGAATTCCCTATTAAGGGCAAGCATCTGCAAGTTACAGATCCGAATACGAACCTCGTTGGATAAAAAAGAAAGATAGTTAACAATAGCAATAGTGGTAGCAATGAAATAATAGTGAAAAAAACATTATCTCAATGTTCGGAGAATTATCAGAATCCAATTCAAATAGTAACAGTAAAAGCTTAAGTTCCCTGTTGATATCTCGTCTATACCTTATAACTTACAATGCATATATATTAATTTTTTCACATAACATGGCTAATACTAAATAAATGTGGAAGATCATGATGAAAAACGGATTATGGTGAAAAATTTTGGCCAAAATTGTGCAGATCATGAGATCATTTGGCCAGAATTATTAATAATTCTTATAATAAAAGAGCAATATTTTGAAAATAATAATAAATGCATAAAATATACAACTTAAATTAATTTTGCAATAATATTTATATTGCTATATACTATATAAATTTATGAGTATAATAATATTGAAAACAAAGTAATTTTGGTACAAAATGATTTATTATCAAAAGATGAACCAAATAATCAAATAAATACAATAAATCAATTACTACAACAATATTAATAACAACAATAACAATAATATTAACAACAACAATAACCATAGCAACAATAACAACAGTATCAACAATAATAACAGTATCAACCAGAATTAACTTTGGTATCTTTTTCAACTTTTAATGATAATAGAATTGAAGATTCAAAGCAAGCAATGTATCATCACAAACAAAACAAGAATCATTTAAAAGAAAAGTAATAATATATAAATACAATCATATGTTACAAAAATGAAATTCAAATGACATAATACAAAATATGAAAATGCACACTATTACATGAAAATTGAGTATAAAAATCAGTACTCAATATAGAGCTAAAAAAAATAAAAATTTTTAATATTATGATCTTATTCCTAAATATTATAGTATAAATTTTCTTTTAATTTAGTTTAATATTAATTATATATATTATTTGTAATACTTCAAAATTCTTATAAAAACACCAGTTCTTTTCTTCAAACAAAGAAATCAAAAATAATAGTTTCATAAATTCTTTAATATCATAATTTTAACTGTAATTCTATAATATTGCTATTCACTATTATTCTTGTTGCTATTTTAACTAAAATTCTTTAATTAACTATCAAATTATTTGACAAATTGTATACTCAAAATCCAGATATTAAATTAATCATAGACTTTTAAAGCTTTCAATTTATCAATATTAACAACAAAAGTCAAATTGTAAAAGATAATACTTAATAAATAATTTCAAAAAAAAAGATAAAATTTATATGAATGATTTTGAATAAAAAATCATTAATGAAATTATGAAAGCAAGTGCTGGACCAAAAATTTTATATCTATCAAAATTAACAATAAATGCAAATATATTAATTAATTATAATGAATTATTTAGTTATACTTATTATTCAATCACATTTTTATATTATAAAATTAGAAGAGTATTAATCAAAATAATTACTAGAATTTGCATTCAGAGGATAATAGATGTCCAAAAGATCTTTAAATGATATGTAGCAAACAAAAATAAGTAGTATTATTATTTAAAATATATAATTACTTTAGGAATAATTAATTATATCAACTATTTTCCTTAGAAAATATTAGAAAAATTAGTTATAAACCTAGTAATAATTTTCAAAAACACATAAAATATTATTTGAATTTATTAATAATATTTCACAAGTAATTATAAAAGATTTAGAATATAATTTATTATTATAACTTTATTTTAATTTATTTTTAATTTTATTTATATTTTTAATTTTATGAAGTAAAATCTTTAACTTCAAAAGACCTGTTGTAATATGAATTTTAACATATTACATGATTTTTTATAGTTTATTTTAATTGAATAATTAATTTTTATGTGATTTATAAATTATACATCAGAAATTTAAAATACTAGCAGAATTGCGGTAAACTTTGAACCTAGTGATGAAAAAATATTCAGTTTAAAAAAATGCAAATATCTTCGTATGTAGTGGACCAAATTGAATGAATTTGGTACCATTAGAAGGTCTAGTCAAGGTGCATCCAATGGTATCAAAATCATTGAATTTGATTCACTAGATGCGGAGATATTACGTCTTAAAAACACCGTACAAAA